CCTTTCTGTAATATTTTCTTGGACATTATGTGTACCACTTGCTATACACATTTCTTCTTTTTCTATTATTACATCTGTTTGACAATTTCCATTACCAGAAGCTACTTCAGATTTAACTGATGTACAACTTAATGTAGTTGGAGATAATCTACTGACAGTCAAACTTTGAGGTGGTGTTCTGCTGCGTTCAGTCATTGCACAGCACAATGAAAGCTTTGTACTAGTGTGAGATCCATGTTGGGAATTTTCCATTTTTGAATTTTTATTTGAATCACCATCTTTGTAAGATGTTTCTAAACATCCAATTTTGGTCTTTTTATTCATAAGTAGATGGCAAAGAGATTTCTTCTTTTGTTTTGACTTAGGAGAAATCTCTGTCTTAGCATTTCCTGTGTTAGATATATCATTTTCTTCACATTTCTCCATGGTATTTGCAGTTATACACTTTAAACACCATACAATTGATTTAATGAATGAATAAAGTACTTTTTACTGATTATTTGAGGTGTATCATTTAGAAAAGTTTAATAAAGTAAATCTATGTCTTTCAGTTAAATGAATCAAACTTAGGAATTTGTAGTAATTCTATTGTATAAGTATAATTATTTTCTTCTTAATATAACTTAAGATGAAAATTACAATGTTTCTGTTCATAAACAGCATAAATTCTTTATATGTATGTAATTTTTGTATAAATAATGTGCAATTGTATTAATAATAATATGTATTTTATTGTACAATGTAGACTAGAATTGTAAAACAAGATATTTGTCTTCCTAATGTTTGTAGTATTTTATCTTGTTAATACTGTATCATTAGTATATTTAAATAAATACATTTAATATAGAGGAAAAGGAACAATGAGATCATGTAAAAATCTCATTATGAGAACATCTCAAGTTTTAAGCTTTGCTTTGATTGACTTTGATCATGTCTAACAGGTAATTTCACTTGCAAATAGTTGGTGTTCAGAAAATTGTAGATATTAAAGATGTGATATTCACAAAGCCAGATGTTGATATTTTAAAACAAGCTCAATGAGCTTCACATCAAGTATTCACACTGGCAGGAAAAATCATTACTGTTATGTTTTTTCTCAATTGGTATGTTGAAAGCAACATGAAATCTAAGTTTGACCCAATAATTATGCTTTTAAAGCTGTATGAATTTTTTTGTGGTAAGAATCAAAGGTCAATTTTCAAACAGATTTGAAAAAAAGAAGTATTTTGATCTGGATCTAGATTTGTGAGAAAAATCAAGAAATTAGATCTTGGATGAGATGCAAGTACAATTGATTATTTTTAAACCACTGGCCATCAGACCCTGCAAGAAAAAGAAACACCTATTACTTCAGGTTTTGAGAAATTGCATGAAAATCCATTAAATGTAAAAACATTAAGTCAAGAAGATGTACTTGCTTTTTACAATGGATATTGTAACATTTTAGAGAACTATCAGGAAATACAGCTTGTAACATAAATAAAAATCTTATCATTCTTTAGCAAAATAGGTACATATCGTCAACTTTTGTATTATGCCATAGGTCATATCCATATATGCGATTAAATCAGAGATTAATGTCACAGGATACTTTAGTAGATTTGGAGCCCAAAACTTCATTCAAATATTAGGATCCATATTACCTTAGGCCATTCCAGCATTTCATTCATCTGTAATAAAACCTTTAGTCCAGATTTTAAGTAAATATTTTCTTCAATTCTTGTCTTTTCTTATTTGTGAATTGTAATTTATGAAATTTTGTGACAATAATGTCATGATTACTAAACATGATTTGCTAAACATAGGAAATTTGTTACATCTCAAATTTAATATTATAATATTTAGCAATGTAGTCAGCTAGTTACATATAAGTGCAAAAATAACATTAACTGATTTACTAAAACAATCACTTTACTTCCAATTTGAAGATATGTTTAAAACTATATTAATAAATATTTGAAATTTAAATATTAATAAATTTGACACTTTCATGTTGGATAATTTATGTGAAATAATTAGAGTAAAAATAAATGATACATATTTGTATAATATTTAGGAAAACAATTTACTTTCCACTTCTTTTTAATTTATTGGGTTAAGCATAAAATTTATTCGTTTTTAATTATACGGAGGAACTGTGCTTATAAATTTTTTAGGATTGTGTTACAAATCAAATTTGATACAGAAGCATTATGCTAATTGAAAGTTAGAGGTTAATTTAGCTTAACTTGCACACACTCTCTCGTATTATTACGAAATTCACTTTGACTTTGAGTCTCACATTGACTATGCATTGATACGTCATTCACGTTAATATCTATGGGAAATTTGTTTTCCATTGCGGGAAAAATGATACGTTTACTTAGTCACTATACTTATTTTTATTGACACTACACTGAATTTTAAACCTAAGATATACAAAACTTATCATAATTCTTAGACACTACGATTGTGTTAAAAACAACTCTACTTATACTGATAACTTAAAACTAATGAATAATTGTAATTGAATCACCAAGATACATTGCGAGCGCTGTGGGCTGATCGATAATTAACTAACTGGCTAACTTGTAGCGTCTGATCGATATTTATATTTTACCGAATTATTGAAAGGTTGTTTTCTCAAGAACTCGCTACTAGTCAGTGTTGATCTTGATGTTTAAATGTTTTGATCTCAAAGCTCGCGACGTAGTGTGAGGTTATGAAAACGGTGTTCACGATTTTTCATCGCTACAAACCCATAACAAATTGCATCATGATTGAAAATACTTAAAAAACGATGATAAATTCTAACTTCCGCTTCTACTTTTAAGAAAAAAATAAAATAGAAGTATATTAGATTTTTTAAAGTTCACTAAAATCTTTGTTACAACTATCATTTTAGCAAGAATTTGTTTTTACTATGGGTGAAATTGTCACAAATTCAAATACCGTATCCTTCTCGATTTCAGCACTGATCTTTGAACTTGCGCAGCTGTTAATCAAGCAGACGACAGTATTTTCACGTTATGATATTTTGTATAAAACTTCGTATTTTCATGTTTGACATTCAATAAAAGTAACACAATAAAAAAACAAGATTACTAACAGCTAAAAAAATATTTTAGCACCACTTAAAAAATTGTTTCTTAACTAATTAAAGCATGGCTGTCCAAGTGAGTAGACGACGTTCATTGGTGCCATATTGTTGGTAAGAGCCATCTGTGATGCAATATATAGTTTGTGTATTCACTTTGTGCACATACGTATACAGGTATACATACTTCGTTTAGTGCCGTTTGGCGGGTTGCGTCACTATGATGTTTGTTTACGTTAACGATAAGTGTATGTTTGAACAAATGCAAATATACAATTGAATTATGACAGAAGATACAGAAATGTTGAATTACAATAATTGTTGCATTGTAAACAAATAAAAATATTTTAATCATTCGAATCTTGTAATTTAATGTTTTGCAAATAAATTATGTAAATAGCATGCAATTAAATGCAAACAAATAACTGTGTGTGATTAATGAACTGTGGTGTTAAATATACATATAAATTTCAATGTTAGCGATTATTGTCAAGATTATCAACTATATAAATTTATATATCGAAGAAGATACGAAAAAACGCAGAAACGACATTATTCATATGCAGGGAATAAATGTAGATACACCTATTACAGCAATTTTATAAAAATTTATTCAAAGTTATCTGTAGACAAATGAGATGTAATACAGATTTTTCTCTTACTAAGATTTGATTGTATTGAATTTCCAATAGAATTAGATGTTAGAAATTGTCGAATTATTTTGATGAATATTGAGCATAGTAATAAAAAAATGCCACAGCATGGTGAGTAATATTATTAATCGTATATATAATATTTTTTTGACTATTCAACTCAAATATAAAACGAATTAAGTATGTGCAAAACCAATTTTACAAAAGTTATATTTAATTATTTTTTTGTACATATATTTTTTTTTTCTTTTTTATA